CATTTGTCTCTAAAATGAAGTAGTTATTCTTAATACTTGTTCTTTGTATCTTTATTGAAAAGTCTTATTTCTCTGCTCCATTTTGTTATCAACTTCATAAGTCTCAAGATTTTGAACTTACCTTGATTTGATAGTACGTGAATTTTGGCATTTAAGACAACCTCTTATTTAATGGCCTAACTTTCAACAATAGAAATACAATCTCTTTTATGTCAATATTTGTCATTTCTATAGTATTGATCATCCTTACAAGGTATCAATTTCTATCTACCTTAATTTTTGTGCTATAGTATTGGATAGTTGTGTAGGACTTTGCACTATAAGATATGCTCTACAATTTTTGAAATCTATAGTATTGACCTTCTTTATAACTCTAATTTTTTCCTCAAATGTTTGTTGATTTTTTAATTCTATCTCTCGCTCGACTATATGTTTCAATCCTCATACAAATCAATCGATCATCTTTGCTCCTAAAATAGTACTAATTTATAGATATAAGAACTTGAATCAAGAAACATAATCTTACATTGCCTTGGGTTATTAAAATTTAGTTAACTAATTGTGTGCTATCTTCTCTATATTGATGGATTGAAATTGACTCTTTAACTCGATGTTGCTACCAAATAGCTACTACATCTCTCAAATAGTTGGCAACATACATAATTTCTTTGGTAGTATTTGTCCCAAATTGTTAGAGATATTGTTGCATGTTGAAGAGTCATTGACATACATCTTCTTGCTTTGAAGTCTCAAAGTATGTATCAAGCTTATTTAATTTCAACTTAGCAAAAGTCAACCCTCTTATCTTAGAAGCTTCTATTTATCCTTGCAAAGTAGTTATCTTGCATATGAGGTGTTATATTTGAGTCTCTAGGCAGGATTGTTTTGTCATATCTTTCATGTTGTAATTTCTTTACTAAATTCTAGTACTATAATGCTTTCTCCTCTTTCAACTAATTTCTTAAAAGTAGCTTGTGGTAGATCCCAAAAAAATACCTAATGTGATCACAACAATTGACTTTTAACTAGAGGGTGGCTATCAATACACTACCAAAGAACAAACTAATATTTGCTCTAATATCAATGAAACAGGATTGAGCTATCTCTAAGATATAAGATTCTTTCAATCCTAACAATATAAATTCCATCACAATATAGGATTACATAAATTAGAATAAAATTGAACAAAATTAAATAGAATGGAACATGAAAGACAAAACAAAGTAAAAAAAAAAAAATAGAATAAAATTAAATATAAAAGTACAAAATCAAACTTTACTAAGAAAAAGGGACCAAAACCATACTTGATTAGATGCCAAAATAGCCCTAGATAGTCCTATTAATACTTTATCTAAATATCTTGGAACTTTTTAGAATATTCCTAATAATAAATCCTATCTAGATAATTATCCTAAATCCTTTTTAGAATGTTCCATGGTAAATCCCATATAAACCACCAATATAATCTTAATTCTAAAAACTTCTAAAAACTTCTAAAAGCTTTCTAAACATGGCTCCAATTACTTATTTCTATGCATCAATAATACAAATGTCTTATCTATACTTCATTACAATTAATGCCCTTAATTCATGTTATTTATTCAAAACTTACAGAAGATGGTATAGCAAATAATACCTTCTTAAGAAATAGAATCGTTTTATCTATACAAAATGATGTTATAGATAATATTAATGAGTAGATTATGGCTATATTTTATAGGAAAGAATAAGAATATTTAAGTGCCACTGAAGTTATTATTGAAGATGGTGTTGACAATAATAATATTTATTTAGTCAAATTCATAAAGTGACTTAATCTATGTGGAATGTCCAGATCAAGGCTTTGTCTTAAGATTGAGATTTTGATGATGCTACTAAGAAATATTGCTCCTTGCCAAAGTCTTTGTAATGGAACCCAATTGATAATTATATGACTAATAGATTGAGTTCTTGAAGTAAGAATTCTTACAAGAAAATTTGCTAGAAACTTGGTGTTCATTCTATAGATTACATTAACTTCTATAATAAAAGAACTTCCATTCATTCTAAAGAGAAAGTAATTTCTAATCCATTGTCATATTATGACACAACTATATGGTGAAAGATAATAATATGGATCTTATTATAGAAGAGTCAAGTTAAAAGATAAAGTAGAAAAATATGGATAAAAGATAGGAAGGTAGAAAAACTTTTAGTAGTAATGCTGCCCTTTTAGAAAAAATAGCTTCTACTTACTTTATAGGGCCAAAAATAAGGCAAAATAAGGTAGATTGGAAAAATAAATTATATAGATATCTTAAGGACGAAGTTAAGAGTAAATTCTAGTAAAAAATTACCTAGAAAAATTAGATATTGATACCCGAGGAGGGTCGGTTATCAACCTGGGTGGAAATCAGACCCTGAGGCACAAAACTGAGCGCCTACGGCAATTCGAGGATTCTTTTGTAAATTGGAGAGTGAAATTTGATAGCAAACTGAATAAGATTTCTATGAGCATTGGTTTTGGATGATTTGAATTTGTTATGAATTTGTAAGATCTTTACAAAGTTAAGATTGTTTTCAAATGATTTGGATTTTATAAAATAAAATAGGATTGTCATTTCTAATGATTTCAAGAGTTTTGTAATAGATCTATAGGTAAAATTTTGTGGATTAATGGTTATAGTTGTGCTTAATATGTGTTGTAAATCTTAGCTCGATCTAACAGTTGAATTGAGGATTTTTGAGGTTTAAGTGGGTCAAGGTCTTAAAAAGTAGAATTTTAGGTCTAGAGAGGGTTTTTAAGTTTTCTTACAATCTACTCATTGGATTGGAGTGAAATTTATGTGAAAGGATATTAGACTTATTTTTCTATGTGTATGAGAATTTTGAGATCAATCGAATAATAGAAAAGAGAAATATTAGCTTTGGGAGATTTGCATCAAGGTTGGAGAAGGACACCTGCCAATATCCAAGCACGTTTTTGAAGCTATTGTCTACTTGGTAATTCCGATCCTTTTCAAAAAAAATTGTACTTGTTGTCAACTTAATTTTTAAAAATTATGCAAATTTTGAGTTAAGATCAATGATTCATTCATTAGTAATTGAGGTTTAAATCTATTCTAAGGTTAGGATTTGGTTAGGATTTGATTTAGGATTAGGGTTTGATTTAGGATTTAGGATTTGGTTAGGGTTTGATTTAGGATTAGAATTTGGTTAGGATTTGGTTTAGGGTTTAGGATTTGATTAGGGTTTGATTTAGGATTAGGATTTAGTTAGGATTTGGTTTAGAGTTTAGGATTTGGTTTAGGATTGATTAGGATTTGATTTAGGGTTTAGGATTTTATTTGAATTTGTTTAGGATTTAAGATTTAGTTAGTTTTTGGCCTAAATTTTAAATGAAGTCTAATAGGATTTCAGCTAAGATTAAATTAAGATTGAATTGAGATGTATTTGAAATATGTTTGTAATCATTCTAATATTTCTTTAAGATTTCTTATTGTTTCTTTGTAATTCCTTTGAGGTTTCTCTAAATTTGATTAAAGTTTATTTAACATTTTTAGTGTTCTATTAGAATTAGGATTTTGTTGTAGCAATTTCCATTCTACCTTACATAGCTAGGTGCTTAGAGCATTCTTAAGCAAAACTTCACATATTATGACACCGTCTTACATTTGTAATTATAATAAACAAATTCCAAGGACAATCAATGAATCACATTGATTTGGATGTAAGATAACCTATTTTTTTCCATGATCAACTTTATGTAATACTCTCTCAATGCACTTCTTCTCGTTCTATTATGATTCTTCTTTCAAAAAAAATTAATTTAAATTCCATACTAAATATTTTTTTCCTAAAATTTTTAATTAGATAAATATTAGTAATTTATTTCCTATATTTTATATTTTAATTAATTTATTTATTGACTTTAAATTCATCTTTGAATGTCTTAACATACTTTAATGATTTTCTAATGTAATTTAATGTTTTTTCTTTATATTTTCAGAAGTAGTTCCTTAAACAAAATTAGCTACTTTTGTTGCATATTATCTATGGCAATGACACAAGTTTACCTATCCTACTTCATAGCTAAAAGCTCTATTGTGTATTTTATTTCTTTCTATTTGTATTGTAGTTGTATTTGAAAAATATTTTTCGGCTCAGAAATGCTTCATTTGAGTCACACTTTCCATGACAACAACATGGCTTCATCTAGTTAGTATGATGAAAAGGATCAGTGACATATATATATATATATATACATATATTCATATAGTCCAATCAAATTGTGGCCCCCCATCCAAAGCAAGCAAGATATCCGAAGCAAAGGTGCTGACTAGGATCGAGAAATGGACAGACCCCACAAACACACACTCAGACAGTCAGACTCATACAGAGAGAGACTGAGAGAGATCGAAAGAGCGACTGACTGACTGACTGACTGAGAGACTGACTGACTAGACCAGATTGGAGGGAGAAAGAGAGAAAGAGAAAGAAAGAATGAATGAATGAGAAGGGTCGGGGTTTGGGGTGTGGGGCTATCTATGGAGGTGTCATAATTGGAGGCCAGCCAGCCTCACACAGACACACAGGCAGATTCACTCACTCACTCACTCACTCCAGTAGCAGCAGCAGTTTGAATGAATTAAAACTACCCAGACTGGAGGAAGGGAAGGGAAATCCGGACTCAATGTCCCCTTCCCCTGCCCTTGTTATGCTTTTGCTTTTCTAACTACTACCACCTCCCTCCACTACTACCAGGCCACCACCACGATGACTGAAGACGGCAACCACGACCACCACCATTCACGACGACGACGATTGCCGGCCACCACTCACGACAGACGACGATAGCACCACGAAGGGACGACGACTGACGACTGACGTCGACGATAATAACACAAGGGGACGACGACTACGATAACAATATCTAGGGACGACGAAGACGACGAGGACAACAAAACCTAGGGAAGACGAAGACGACGACGACAACAAAACCTAGAGAAGACTACAACAAAACCTAGGGACGACGACGACAACAAAACCTAGAGAAGACTACAACAAAACCTAGGGACGACGACGACAACAAAACCTAGGGAAGACGAAGACGACGACGACAACAAAACCTAGGGACGACGACTGACGACGACGGAGTTGCGGGGAGGGGAGAGTGCAAGGGTCGCGGTGCAGAGGAGTGTCGCGGTCACGACCGAAGCCTGCTGGTGAGACAGGGCTCTTTCGTGGCTGGGAAGACCGAGGGAAGAGAAGGAAGGCATCCATCGTGTATGTGCAGTTGTAGTGGCAGTGGGAGAGACTGGGAGTGAGAGACTGAGAGTGAGAGATTGAGTGAGCAGCTCGCGAGACCGCATTACTACAGTGCACTCTCACTTACTTCACTGCTGCAGTAGTAGAGGCCGGTGCCAGTTGAAGTGCAGTTCTACTGCTGCTCTACTGCCGCTGCCCACACCCCCCCCCCCCGCACTCCTCTAGGTTCTCGGCGCACATTAATTGCCTCTCGCGCACCCCGAGGATGGTGCCGCATTGGGAAGGACCACGCGAGGATTGTGTCAGGGGATCACCTCGAGCGAAATCAATCGCCCTAGGAGGCCCTCGACAAGTCGTTCAGCTGATAGAGCCTCCCGTGCCTGCCTGTCTGTGTGTTCTCGGGAGCTGGGCTGCGGTAAATCGACTTAATCATCCCGTTAGGTTATGGAGTCTTGGCACCGGAGCGTGGAGCGGGGAGGGCGTCATTTGGAGCGACGTGCAGCTTGTTGAGCGGTCCTAGACAATCTGGGGGAGGGACCAGTATAAGTCAGTCGCTTGCAAGTCCGGCTGTTCGATGCCTGCGAGATTAGCTCGATGGTGAGGCTCCTAGTGTGCGAGTGGTGGTGTTATAAGGTGTAAGGTTGGTGTGCAGAGATGGCAGATAAATGTGAGAGTTATGGCGGCGGATTACTGTGGGTAGGTTTCGAGATAGGTTTGTCCTTGTGATGGCGACGCCTAGCTAACTTCGAACTTGCTCTGATCAATGCGAGTTAGCAGGCTAGTTTCCATGGAGGAGATCGTCATGATTCCAGCCCTGGTTCTGTGTACCCTAATTTGTAGGCTGTGAAGGAGTTGATTGTGCTGTAACGGAAGGTAGTCATTGCTGCAGTGAGGTAGTAGTGTTTTTTTGCAGTTTGTGAGGGAAGAGTCGAGGGTTAGGGATGACGCCCCCGCGTGGTGACGAGATGACGGCAGTGCCTGCGCTGTTCAAGTGCCCCATCTCCCTGGAGCTCATGAAGGACCCCGTGACTTTGTGTACCGGGCAGACGTATGATCGGTGCAGCATCGAGCCGTGGTTAGAAGCGGGTAACACGACGTGCCCCGCCACCATGATGCAATTAGAGTCGCTAGAGGTCGTCCCGAACCACACGCTGCGGCGTCTGATCCAGGAATGGTGTTACCGGAGCTGGGGATATGTCGACAAGACTCGGAACCAGTCCGCGGCGAAAGCATGCGCCGACCCCGGGCAAATCGTTTCGCTGGTGCAGGACATTACCCTTTCGCGCCACAAATTGGGCCCTCTCAAGAAACTGCGGAATACCTTGTGCGAAGACGAAAGGAGCCAGCGCTGCGTGCGTGACGCGGGAGGAGTCGCTGCTATCACTGCATTGTTGGCATCTTCACAGGAATCGGGTGGAGATTTCGAGGAAGATGGTTTTGAGGTTTGCGAGGAGGCGCTTGCAGTGCTCGTCTCGCTGATGGCCGTTTGCAGCCATGACGAGCTCGTAGGGCTAGTTGGCTCTGGCGGTCTGGTGGTTTCTTCCATGTCGACCGTCCTCTGCAGAGGAAGTCTGGATTCTCGTGTCAACGTGGCAACAATCCTAGCTGCAATCGCAGCGAACACCGATTTGCATTTCCATGGGGCGCCCAAAGTGTTTCAATCGTTAGGAAAACTGCTTAGGGAAGATCTCTACCCGAAGGCTGTCAAGGCCAGCTTACGAGCTCTCCTCGCATTGTGCAAGTGCCGCCGCAACCGCGTAGTAGCAATCGAAGCAGGGGTGGTGCCTGCTCTAATCGAGCTCCTACCGGAGCTTCAGAAAGCCAACGCCGAGCGCGCTCTCGGCATCCTCGACCTCATGTGTGCCATCACGGAGGGTCGCACGGCCGTCATGGATCACGACCTGGCGATGGCAGTATTCGTCTCTCAGTTCCATACAATTTCAGTCACCGCCACCGAGTACATCGTGAGCATCCTCTGGTCATTGTGCCAAGGGTCCCCACAATCTCTCGCAGCAGCACAGGAGGCTGGTGTCTTTGCTCCTCTTCTCCTCCTCCTGCAAATTGAATGCGCCCCTAAGACGCGACAGAAGTGTGGGGAGTTGCTGAAGCAGGTGAAGTCGGGCTGGAAGGAGGTTTCCTGTGATCCCCATTTCTTCCTTCGGCCCCCATTCATTACTGCAATGTGATCGATGGACTAAACGATATCAGAGACCAACCTTGGAGATCGCTCCGCGTAAGTGAATCGTCTTCTCAGCAATGACTTCATCGTCTGATTCTTTTTTTTTTGAGGGGATAGGCTAGTCTGCATCGAGGTGATTAGTTAGCCACCACGTCTAGATTACATATCTTCTTTCATGTACAGTGCCGAATGAATCAGGCCCTCCACCATTTTTTGAAAGAGGCTTCAAAATGCCCTTCTCGACCTATAATTCAATTATCCTTAAACGGTTCAGTTCTCTGGACACGTTGAATGTTACTTAACGTCATCTGAACGCTCTCGCCTTCGGGGGCTGCCGTTAATTCTGAGACGGAATTAATAGTTTTAATTTTAATTTCCTTCAGTCAACTGAGGTTGTGGAGTCAATCGTTGGGTCTTAACGCTGCACGAGTCGACCGCCGTTTGACCTGGAAATCCTAGTTAATAGTTTTAAAGAATGAACATCCATACAATTTATGTTAAATCTAAAAATTATCGTTATGTTGTCGATTGTCAGACATAGTTAATTCATGGTCAACCTGTCTAATGCTTTCATAGTTCCCTAATTTACAGGAATGCAGTATCAGATCAACACCTCGCTTAATCCCCATATCTGACAATCAGTTTTCCGGCGCCTAAACTTGAATTGTTAATTATTTTGCTCAGTTTTCGGAGCATGCTCGTATTGGTCCCATTAGAATACATGGGCCGTCCTGCAATGAAGCGCTGCAACGAAGGAGAGATGTTTAAGTATGAAAGACAGTGTGGTCCTTTGAAGTGTTGGTTTCCAGGCATTTCCAGCCCAATAAACTGACCATCTGGATGACCACAGCACTCTGCAGGGGCCTGGAATTGTTGACCGTAGGCCTGAGTACTACCATGTAACTGGAGACTGGTTTGATTGTGATGTTTTGTGCGTATTCATGCTCCTGGATTGGCCATCCGATTCCTCTGCTACTGTTGCAAAGCGTTGAAGGATTTCGGTTACATCATCAGCCTTCATAGGATGGTTTTGTGTTGTTTGCCCTGTAGCGCATCAGGCAGTTCGCGTTGAGCTTTTACGTGAGGCGAAGGTACGGGTTTGGTACCAGAATAAACGCGACATCTGGCTTCAGAGCGTGCGCATACGCTTTGTGTGGGGTCCCCTTGTTCAATCACGCTTTCTTCCACATTTCGTTTCTACAGTATCCTTTGACCGACGCCCCGCTACAGACTCTTAGCGACGACCGCTACCTCATCCGGTAACAACACCACCCACTTAGTCCTTTTTGCAGAGCCAGTGTGCGAGTGCCATGGTCAGATTCAAGCTGCGTCAAACCACGCTTTGTTATCACTTGATGTGGAAAGTGTATTACTTGCACGCATTCTGTGGAGCGACTGAAGTACTGTTTCAACTGTCCAGACCAGATCAACACAGTCAGTAAGTCATCTCTCCACCACCCCCAATTGCGAAGGATCTCAGGTGATGAGAGCCTTGAGGAGGGGGTTTTCACAGGGCCGAACCGCAGTGTACCTGCAGTGTTGGTTGATTGCGGAGTCAGCAAAGTGGGTCCTTTACGTGGTGCAAAAGGATGTCGATATCTTCCTGATCAAGGGTCCGCACCTTTCTCTGCCCTTCACGAATCGGTGCGCTCCTCTCGTCCTCACCGTTGGACTGTCACGCACGCCGCGTTGCCGATGAAACGACAATCAAACCACGGCCCTTAGAAAAACTGGTCTTCCTCCTCCTCCACTTCTTCTACTCACCTCCACATGTTGTCGACAACCTCGGCTGTGAAGTCCACAATCCAGCACTCAATTTCTCCATGGTTTCAATCAGTGATCTCAGCATTTGTTCATACACAATTCATTCATGTGACTCTTCCCCGAAGACCACCGCGGGGACTTGTACGCTGCGCCAGAAAATCCATGTTTAGTTTGGCAAAGAGCTTTCACCGACGGGGGAAAAGAGAAGAAAAAACAAACAGAGCCGTGATTCTGTTCTTCAGTGAGAATGTGGGTGTTTGTACACATGATTGTAGATATATACTTGGTTAACTTTACCCATGAGCTTCGGTTTCGGTGCACAAATGGATCCTTGTTTCAATGTTTACAGTGGAATTACAGTCTGGAATTATGCAACTGTCATGCTGTATGCTGTCGAGAGTAGGAGTATGATTTTGACATCATCAACTGCTTTTGAGATAAGAAACTATAAGAATGATGTTGATCATAATTACAATACTAATAACAATAATAATATTATGGATATGTGGGTACTGATGGGAGTGGTACACAATATGTTTACTTCTTGTTATGATGAGATTGAGTAGTAGAACAAAAGAATTATGAGATGCGAGGGATTTCATTGATTCATTCTGTGTTTTCTTCATCATTTTTGCACACACTTGCAAAACTAGACAAAAGTAATCCTGGACGAAAATCTATTTGATCAACTGTAAAATTAAGTTGAACTTATCAAACGTGATTTTTGATAAACATAATAAGAATGCATTGTATCATAAAAAATAACACTTGGTGTTTAAGCTACTTTTTACTTCTTTCTTTTGACAGGATGTATATTGTCTATTTTTGCAACAACTAATTTAGATTAATGCCATGTGACTATTAAAATGCATTTTTAGATACACGTTTTCTTTTTCTTTTTCTTTTTCTTTTTATCACAAGGTCAATTGTATTTGAACATTTGAATAAAAATGTGTGTCAGATATCTATAAAGTATGATCGAATTTGTTTATTAAAGAAATCTGTAAGTCTAAAACATGTACATCTTGCAGAAATAGTAATATTGTGATTATACCACAAAGTTGTAGACATAAATGTAATCCCTATTCAAATCAGGACATACCATGTTTTGAAAATATTTTTGGACCTCCAGCAGACGAGGTGTAATTTTTCAAAAACAATTTACTTTTATTACTCACATAGGAAAGCACTAATATTATTATTGAATAATAACATATCCTATTTTTGGAATGTTTAAGCAAAAATCATTCTTCTCAACAAAAATCTTGTGAGTTTTTTGCACCCGTCAGAAAATAGAAAAAAATAGTTTATCAAAATTGATTGAGAAGATGTGTATCACCATCACCTATTCGAAATATGGACACATAAAGAACAAGTATGTAAACCTAATGTGATCATTTTGAATAAAGAGTTAAGCATTTGGTTCAATAAAAGTACTTTCTGAATCAAATATAAAGGAGATATTAATGAAAACATTTGATGTAGACTTGTGAGGATAAAAATCAGAGACCATCATTGGTGGTATTACATCTTATCAATTATTTCATAAGAAAATAATTATAACAATAATATTGTCGAGAGATGTATGGATACTCACATCATTTTTACATTTCTATGATTATTATGAAATAGCAATACATATTTTGATTAGATTCTTTTTCTCTCCAAACTTTTTTTTTTTTTTTTGAGAGTTTTTTCTTGAAATATATGCATATTAGTTATGCAAGGTTTTGAACACTTACTATTCAGTACTGTAATTTAATTTGAATTTTTAAATATATTTTATTTCTGAGAATGATTCTTTCTATTTTTTTAGCTACAGTTCTGAGGTTGTGTACTGCTTTTGTTAAAAACCCATTATTTATAAATTATTTAAATCATGCTTCTAGTAATACATTATTTCAGTAATGGTAATGGATGTAATTATAATAAAACTAAATATCCTGATTGATTTTGCAATCCTGATAAATTTTTTTGTTTTATTAATTCTAAATATTATACATTCTTTGAAACAAAAAGGAGAATATTTGGCTGATTTGATTATTACATATACTAATTATATCATCTTCCTTCTTTTTTTCACTTTTATTTATTTTTTATTTTTTAATGATATCTTACTTCTCTCATGAAATTAGAATTATCATGAGTATATATATATATATACATATTTGAAGAATGGGTTTTTGCATCAAAACATTTTTCCATTTTGTCTATCTGGCTGTAAGTGATGCAAAAAAATCGTGAAGACACAGTAAACTCTAACTGTGTCTAACATGACAATAAATCTTAGTTAACTTTAATGGTCACAGTATTTAAAGTAAACTTCAAAACAATTTACAGTATAATGATTGTACTTTTCTGTAGTTACAGTGATGTTTTCATAAAATGATATCTTTTATGTTAGTTTCAAAGGTTGTTTCAATTTATATGCATCATGAATTATGAACTTTGCCACATAATCATTTTACAAAATCTCTCTAATATTTTTTAATATTTTATTTTTTTTGTATTAATGAACAATGTTTAAGTAATGATTCTACACACCCTCAAAAATACATATCAATGCTACATTTTTAAGATGGAGAGAATATAAAATAGAAGGATCTACTTTAATTCTTTCAACAAATAATAAATATTTATTTTTGTAGTTTAAACTTGTAATTGATTATTTGATAGACATGATTTCTAATAATATATTTTAACCATCTTAAATAAACTCTTACTTTTATTTTTATTATTTTATTTTATTTTTATTCATACATACTTAGATTCAATTTCGAACACAAAAAAAAAATCTTTATTAGTTGCCTACACATCTCTCGCTAGTACAACTTGTGATTACATATGTAGAAAATATGAATATTATTCCTGCTTTTTATTACCAATGTTACAATTTCAAAATATACCCTCGACTCTACAACAATTAAAAGTCCATACTCTTTTGGGTTAAGAAGTAATTATTTGTGTTTGTTTTGCCGTCATAAGATGTTACATGTATCAAAAAAGTCATATTTAAGATTGTATTTAAATACACCACATTAAATTGTTTAGTTACTTTGCTTTTGTGTGGAAGTGACTAGTAGCAAAAGGTATCATTGATATTCTGAATGAACAGGATGCATACAGACAGACAGACATGCATATGTTTGTATAGTGTGTATATATATAGATATAGATAGATATATATATTTAAAGTAGTTTTAAGATTTGGAAAAAAAGGATTGTTCGGACAAATATTTTTTATGTTCTGCTATGGCTTGTACCATGAAAGAGTATGCACAAGAGTGTCAACCACATGAATCTTGTCGGTCGTGATTAGCAATTTGTGATTGAGTCGCATGATAATCTCGCACATCGCGTGAAGATTTGTGAAACAAATTGTTTGTTAAATCGTTGCATTCGATCCCATCCTTCCTCTTCCTTACAACCTAATTTATCCATCGAATGAGTCGACGTTTCTGCTGGTTGATATTAGGCTTTCAAGGTATTTTTCTACAATTTTTCAGACATCTGCACACTGCATTTATGAATACCAACTTTCGTTAACTGAGAATGAATCGCTTTGGAGCTTTTTTCCTTGTTGCTGAGTGATGGTGGAAGAATAAACAAGCAGCTTTTATTGTAAAGTATGCGTAATAATGCTTTTCAACAGAGTACGTTGAAGCCAGAAAAACCGCGTGTAAGATTATTACAGGTGCTGCGAGGCATGGTATTACCCAAGTCACAAAGGCTTTGGGAGATATTTACAATGACAATATTTCTAGTTCTGTGCACAAAGTGAATCCTTGCCTGAAGTCTAGTGAGCTGGGTTGTATTTGTATTTGGCCTTGAGCTGTCCACGTGCTCCAGGAGAAAGATGCAAAACATGGCCACTGAGAGGGAACTGGTTCATATCAACTCCAGCACTTGCAGATGTGACCAGAAGCTCATCGAGGTTGTCGCCGAACCACGACGGCTGAGTGGGGCGCTTCACGGGCATATCAATGGAACACACAACCTTAGCCTCGGGTGAAATGCTCACCAGCTTCTGCCCATCATAGAAACAAACCCACAAGTACCCGTCATCATCAATGGTGGCTCCATCTGGCACTCCCTCGAACAAAGGAGCTGTGTCAAGGAAAAGGCGGCGGTTGCTTGGAGTGCCGGACTCTTCATCATAATCCCACACAAAGATTTTTTTCAATGTGCTGTCACCACAATACCTGTACAAAGATTTGCAAATGCTTTTAGAAATCAGTTCTCTTATTCTTTTCATAGTCTCAATGCTAAAAGACTACAGATCTATCTTGGAAAAAAGAAGTTATAATGAACAATCACTTACAAAAGCTTCTTATTGGGGCTGAACAGCAAGCCATTAGTACAACAAATGTTATCAATGACCTTTGTGGCAGTCTTGCCGTCCGTCTCAAGCCTGTAGATCTCTCCTGGCTTGCTCTCGTCGGTCTTGAACAACCGGCCAGCCCAGAACCGACCCTTGGAGTCACATGCGCCATCGTTCATACGCCAACCGCTGTTTACGCCATAAGGATTTGCCAAGACCGTGAACTTCTCATTCTTGAAGCTCCACATTCCAAAGCCATCTTCATATGCCAGAACGAGCCCCTCACCGTCCTCGGTCAAAGCCATTGCTCCCACTTGAAAACCCACATTGTAGTCTGTGCGCTTACCAGTTGGGATGTGATACTTGTGAATGGTCTTCGCTTGGATGTCGGTGTAGTAATAGTTTTTGGTGGGTGGATCCCAAATACCACCCTTGCCTACAAGCGCACCGGCTTTATAAAAGGTAGTGACCTTTAGATCACAGCACTTCGCCGCTGAAGCCCCATCTTCACACTTGGTTGCTGTAGAGCTTGCCATTTCTGTGATGCATTCAGAGAGGCAACAGAATTAAAATAAGAATCTGAATAATAAATAACATGATGAATATTCAATTGTTTCAACTGTTTCAACAGGATCACATTCCTAAAACCGTCTTGTACACTTAACGACCTGCTAAATCAACAAATTTCAGAACATAAGTCTCAATTCACTACATCATGCACAAGTTCTTGTTCTGATTAAACCTCAGATTTAAACTTAAAATTTGTCTATTTCAAATGGTGCTGCACAGATCACCACGACCATATTTCTATCTTTAGTTTGTTTGGTTTCCAGGTTTTTAAAATGTTAAGCTTGGCACATATAAGCCAAGACCATCGATCCTGCATGCGATTGATTGCTGTTTCATGCCTCGCCAGCTAAATTACAATTAAAACTCAGCTAATGAGTTGCCAAATTCTCCGTTGAATGAATCAAGAACACATGGTTGTGAAGTCAGGACAGATAAGAATGAATCACTCCGAGCGCTGTTATGAAGCACGTCAAATATGTAATGCCTGCCTCCTGAAGGGGTTCGGACGAGTCACATCCTTCAATTCAATCAAGGCGGTGGTAAAAAAAAAAAAAAAAAAAAAAAAAAAAACTCAGGAGGATTCTAATTCCAATACCTTTATGACTGACACGTTCTCAACAGCTCAACAATTAATAACTCTATTGTTCTACATGTGCTTACGTCACTCCACATGGCGGAATTACAGAGCGCGGAAGGGTTAAGGAATTTGCGAAACGGAGGTCGCTTTGGATGCCACCTGACTACGCTGACGAAAATTATAGTCAGTACCGAGTACGAGAAAATTACGACTGAGTAGCTCTTAACTCGAATAAGTTACAAGTAAAATCGCGTCGAAAGGATGAACCAAGCCCAAAGTGGAAGACGAACGTTATTATCGATGCTGCTTGAAATTGCGCAGCATGCCCCCCGCCCCCTCCATGCAAGACTAGTGTTTCTCCGTAACCTCTCTAAAGACTAGGGAATTTTTAAGGCAGAAAATGTCTCGGCAATCAAACAAAATAATTCGTAAGTCGATAATTGGTTTCGCCCGCAACAAATTGGGTGTCCGCCTGTGGCCAATCTTACAATCGGCAATCGAAAACCTTATGGACAATCGATCATTGGTTTCCTGATCCTTACCCTCTACAAACTGCCTATCTTGCAGTTATCAACTGTATTTCACGAAGAAAAAACATGAAACGGTAGGGAAACAAAGAAGCTTCTGATAAAGAAATGTTGATTAGGGGTTCATCATCCGACAATTGGCTCCAATGGCGGATACACTAAAGTCTTCAGCGATGAGACGAATACCCACAGGATACCATATCATCGTCACAGGTCTGAAGGTCCATCCAAACAGAAGCAATTGACGAGGGACAAGAATGGTGGCACAGAGTCACAAAGGATCAAGAGCGTGAAGAGCAGTGCACAAGGAACGCATCCTACAGGTTAGAAGCTTCACTGATGCTCCCAATGTGAGAAGCAACGGCTTGAAGGTCTCTCTCGTCCTTCTCTTTCACCTTCACCTTCACCCCCAAGAGAAGCGCAACTGTCTGGCCTCCCAAGGATCCACAACGCCACCTTCTTCAATCTCTCCGCTCATCAGTAACGATGATCGGCTACAGGTATGCAGCGTACATATCTGGGGCATGCCAGTCGTCAAAATCCTTATGGATATGGGACTCAAGCTGTCTGCGTATCTTTATATAGGTCACCAAGTCCCCGATCCATCACTTCTGACGTTAATCTTATATTTAACTGTGAGTCCGATCCCAAATCTTATCTCAGTGATCCGAAATACCCATGTCGCTACACTTGTCTAACCAAATCGCTGACAACTCCAACTATGTCTTCGCTCCAGAATTCACTGACCTACTCTTTTCGGATAACGGACCTCAACTATAAAAGTGAAATTAATCAACTACGTCTTAAAACTAACATATGTCAATCTTTACTTCCATCTTTGTATATGATAGAATTGCAAAGAGTTTTTTTCTCCTGTAAAGATGGCCAATACAAAATGCACGACAAGGAAAACCCAACATGTGAAACCTATAGATGTTGGTCAGGGAAGGATATTTTACAATCTCTCTTTGAAAGCATCTTCTATTATTGTAAATATATCCTGTTCCGGGGCATGAGAATCTTAGTTGCAGAAATGGACTTTATTATAATATGATTGTGAAGACCAAGTCTCCATCCGACAGACTCTGCTATATGATTCGCGCAGAGTTGTGATGTTCGCGGTACCAGTATATACCCACAGCAGTCCCATGCGAAGCTGTTGGTTGAAACAGATCGTAGAGGAAGGGAGAAAAGCTTTTTGGTTGCAGACACCTACGTGGACCATATTGGAATAAATCCAGAGCCTGATTGCCATGCCTCTTGTTCATCACACGTTTTGCAGATTTCGCCACAAGGACATGTCACCAGTCACGAGAAACACGGCTGAAGAGCTTGATAGGTTTGCAGGAAGTTTTAAGTGTACCGTCTGCCTCAAGTCAAAAGAATCAAAACTGACCGAGCAACTGTGCACTGTACATGAAACTGTTTTGCTGTAGCTTCACCAGGTCGAAATGGGTTTTCAGTTCGCAGTTGGAAGCTTTGTATGATAACATGTGGATGGCTCCACGACCGCTAGAAGTAGCTGGGCTGGTGCTCGAGAGGATACTGTACATGGGCACCCATTTCTGCCCATCACAAAAGACAAGCAATCACATACACTAAAGTTCATCATCGGATTTAGGTGGAACGCAATGTTAACAATAGGACTAAATACAATCTTCCTGTGCAGAAGGTTGCACCTCAACAGATGCTACAATAGTATTGCTACAATAATCTAATTCTTGGGCCTTTGTGTGGATAATGGAGTTGTAGAGACTATTGACGAAGTGACTGACGAATTAAATTATTGAGATATGCGCCGATGAGACCACCACTTTTTGGTTGAACTTCACTGAGAGCCCGTGTAAGAAAAATGTACCAGTATGCAGAGTGACTCATAATGCAGCTACCGAGGTGATTGTCAACTGATAGTACCATAACCTCAGCCACACTTTTGATGAACTTAGTAAGGAAAACTCAAAATACATATCTTAACGTATATCCCTCACAGCTGTAATAGCACACGTTAGACTCAAGGTTGTTTCGACTCACAGGCAAATTGAGTATCAAGAAGAAAAATTCCCAGTGTTCATTTGCTCATTGACGAGCGAGGTGGCTGCTCAAAGTAGTTCAGGATTTCGCGCGCACTGTCAATTGAGAAGAAAAGAAAATGAATATTGATGCTAGCAATCCAACTGAAATTATGAGTCTTCTACCCTTCAAGTTAGAATAGGACGAGATTTTGCCCACTGGAGACCGATACGGAGGATTCAAGGAAAAAAAGATCTCGTAGATCCAGTTTCACCATCGATCAACTGAATTGAAATCGCTCCCTCTGGGTAGATCACCAAGTAGTAAGGACAAATGTTCTGTCCTATGTATGAGGTGCATGTAAAAATCTGCCAAGGCCACGGGGTAAAGAGATTTAGAGACTGATCATGTGCGGTACCTATTGATTGCACACGAAGCGGAGCATTTCAGTGTGCTGAGCTGGAGTAAATACAAAGTGAAACGCATTCGTGGAACCAGGAGTAGAACTTGTGAACACTTGCAAACTTTCAAGAGGAAGTTTTCACAAAGAAAAACGCCATCACCTTCAGGTTCCCATCCTGAACCCTTGCTCTACTACACTTCATCATCCATGGAGCCTCAACCACACTCACCTCCATTTCACAGTTGAAAGATCCCATCCTTGAACCAAAGAATTGGGGCAGTCAAATACCATTCCTCAGGGATCTGCATTCCGAGGTAGCCAACCCGTGTAAAAATCCATGTTATTCAATTTCATCAACTGAATGAAGAAGTGTTGCAGCAATCTCAACCCAGTTTAGTGCCAATACATTCGCTACATTACGCAAACGAAGGAGCGAACACTTGTTCAATACCTCTCCGTAATGCTTACAGATAACGTTCCACAAACTCAGAAACTCTAATCACTCGTTTTAAATGCCGCTCTCTGTTAATCACAACAATAGCCCACACAAGAAACAACATCAAGTTATCAAATAGTGTGAAACTCAATAACCCAGGTTCGAGAGAACCAAAAAAACAAAACAAAACAAAAACAAAAACAAAAAAAAAAAAAAAAAAAAAAAATCTGATACAAACCTGCAAGCTCATGAGCAGATCGCTGCTACAATCCACCATGAAAAAATTCTTCATAGGCGCAGGCGCCGATTATGCATTGCCGTCCTTCCGCCATCTTCAACCTTCACATTTCGGCCCCTGCAACTTCACCCCCGAACACGATTCCCCTGCGAAAATCATGATCGTTGTCTTCCGAACAAGCAATTTGTGAAATTCGGTCGACAATGCTTTTTTATTCGAAACGCAATTTGAACCCATTGAACCACACATCTGCGCTTCTGGGTCAATTGTTGCTGCCGACGCCGACGCCGACTCTGACGCTGGTAGACGCCGAAATAGACGCCGATAGACGTCGCGGCCTCTTAAGAAGCTTCTTCCTCGTTTCCTTATTTCTTTCCATCCTCGTATCTTCTTTCGTAATCCATCTCCTTTTGAAAGACTTCTTTTCTTTCCGGTCTGCTTTTCTTTATTTCTTTGGCTCGCAAAATCTAATTGGAAGGAAGTGGAGTTTTAAGCAGAATCAAAAATTAATTTTCGACTGCAGATTTAGATTCTTGATATGGTAAGGTACAGTTTGCACGATACTTTAAATTTATCTACAGTCGAAAATTAATTTTTTTTAAAATACTTAAATTTTGTTTTAAGGACAAGTCATGTAGCTAGAATATCCAATTGGGCTCTAATGTTGTGAAATTAACATGCCTTCGCAATGTTAAGTTTTGTGTTTCTTTTTCATTTGAAGTTTGTTGATGGTTATCTCTATTATGGAGATGCCAGAACCAAATTAAGGGGGAAAAAAATATAAAATAAATTGTAACCCACTGACAATGTTGAATATTGATAAACAATTTGCAAAATCAATAATATTTAAATACAAAAATGAAGTAGTCACTATTTAGGCCGAAAATTTCCATTGTTGGACATTCAAAATTTAAAACTATGTAAACAAACAATGTAGAGAGCTTTTAATGGTTTTACTACCAAATTCTAATGAGAATATGAAGGAAATATATATATACCTGTATGTATTTATATATATTTATATTTAAAAGATTGATCAGTATTATTATTATTATTATTATTATTGCCTAAAATGACAAACAATTTGTCAGTATAAAACTACTGAATGATATCTGAAACATTTTGTGAACATATATATTTCATTTGAATATGTTTTTTACATTAAAAAAATGCAGAAACTCTTGTAATTAACTATTTCCTTTGATGCATCTGTAATTAATAAAATAATAATAAAAAAAAAAGGTCAAGTTAGGATAATTGGGGATTGATCTACTCAAGCAAGAGGCCAAAGAAGAAAAATAAGTATGTATTGAAATGATTTTCAATTTATGTGATAATAAATCAATTTTTAAGTAATTGTAATAATGATGCAAGGTCACACTCAACAATGTGTTACACATATAGGTAAGGAAGTAGCATGGAATTTTTGGCCAAATTACAAGTAATACAATTAAATTCAACAAAGCTAAGATTTTGTTCCAGTTTAGGTAGTGAAGTTGCCACAATACAAAACATATTTGAGAGGGAAAATTAATTAAACTCAACCTTAAGAAACTATTAATTATGTATTCAAATTATATTGAAAATGTTGGGTTCACTGTATGTATAAGTCTTTTTTTTTTTTTTTTTTTTTTTTGTGTGTATGTGTGTGTGTGTGTGAGTGTGTGATATATCTCAATAATAATAATACTAATAATAAAAATCAAAAAATATTTAATAAGCCTAATTAATTCGATATTTCTACTAATGAAGCAGGATGAAATTGTGAAAGATTTAATACCATCAAGCTTAATTTACATAATTATTACCTTATAATTCCTACACATACATACATACAGAATAATTTAATAACATATGATTTAGAACAATTGGTATAAAAACCATGAATTCAAAATCAAACAGGATTTTAATTTGTAGAATAAACCTATCTTCTTGAAATTCTAAGTTTGGTCCAAATAAAATTACACACACACACATAAATAGACTGAAATCATACCTTCATCCACATTAAGAAAGTGTGTGTTAAAAATTGAACTTGGGGTGTGATTTTTGCTATCACATGCTAAGGGAAAAAAAAGAAAAAATAAAACACAACACAACATAACATGACAACATGAAAAAAGACAAAGCGAAACAAACACAAAAATAAAATAAAATAAAACAAAAATATGGATCATGAAAAACATATTCATTTGTCTGAACTATTTTTAACTTCTTCGATGGGCAAGAATAACACCTCATATCACTTGTTTTGTTCGAGATCATATATGATGTTCGCTTCAATCTCATGTATCGAAGAACTATTCGGCTCTTGAGGATACAAATTCATGCAAAGGAAGTGGTGATTGTAGTATTCTCTGTTCAACATTAGAATTGTGGGCTAAGGGTATGCAATGGGTTCTAAATTTCTGTAATTAGGGTTCTAAACCTTAATTTCTAAGATCTAAATTGTAAATCCTAATTTGTAAACCCTAATTTCTAAATCCTAATATGTGATGATCCTCACACAGTTTTGATGGCGAAGTTGTCAAGGCCCCTGTGCCTGGAAGCGTGGAGGGGTCGTCTCCGAGGCAGACTCACAGATTTCTGCACACATTGGAAGTCTCTCACCACAATTGTTGACGAGTCACATGAAGTTGGGTTTCAATGAATCGTGAGAATAGTTGGCGAGGATCTCGAGTTTGTGAAACCTCTTGGACGTTGAGAGCATCCTACTCGTCACTGTGTCGATCGCAATCGCATTTCGCAGGGTTGTGCCAGACTTGCATCAAACAGGGGAAATCTAAAAAGGGTTGTGTCCATGACCTCAGTGCAGTACCTAAATTACTCCTTGGTGACCTGTTCACATGCTGTTTCGGAGAGGACAACACGTGAACCACAGGAAGGAGCCTTGTGGATAGGAGATAAGAAGCAAAACCTGTCAAAATCTAGGAACCCACACTCTGCTGATGCCATTTTTCATGACTGTGATTTCATGTCTGGTTCATCGAAGAAGACGCTTATATGTTACCTATGTGCCGAATTGTGATGCGATTTTACAACCCCATAAAATCATTCTGAGCTTCAAGGGTGACAATTCTCGCTGGTCTGCTTGTGTCCAAGCGTGAAACACATTTTTGAAAAGATAAATTAAAAGGGTATTCCAAGAGTCAATGTTGCGAGTTCCAATCGAATGAATCTTTAAAACTGATAGAGTTATCTTAGACCAAAAACACTCTTATTATGTACACAACTACAACACACAAAATTATTGACCGAGGAAACTTTTCAATCAACATTTATTTTAAACAGAATTTAGGCAAAAGGCAAATAAACTGAACTCAAATTGGCCACGTTTTTTCTTGAAACCATTTCACAGAAATTGTTTAAATCAACGATTAGAAAACTAAAAGTTCTTACACATTGAAGTTTAGAGCCGCTAATACCACAGCAATCCCATGTCTCTGATTCGTTTCCTGATTATGAAAAATGGTCTAAGATACAGGTCGTCAGGCGTAGTCATTAAGAATGAGACCACATTGCACCTCAAGAAAACTTTTTATTTTTTAAGGAGCAACCCAGAATGTGTTCGATAGTTTACAGAGAGGGTCATGAAATCACTCTCAAGACTTGCACAAAGTCCACAGTCCTCCGTCCGACGGATCCTGGCGACGATGAATGGGATCGGACAGGTGAGACAAAATAAAAACCACAAGTTCACGAACCCCATTTGAGCTTTTAACGGCAAAGGCAAGGCTACGTTACATTCTATCCCATTCATCGCGCCACCACCACACAAACAGAGAGAGGCCACCAAGTGGCCATGAATCATGGCAGCTGCTTTTTGAACTCCATCATCGGATATCCATCGCTGGGGCACAAAAGCTTACTCGGCCACAGAAGCAGATGCAGCCCCCAAGGTTCCAGCCAACCTGGAGCTGCCACACATCCCAGTTTGTGGACCTCCAGTTGGAAGAAGAAAAAAAATACACGTTTCATAAATTACACACCAGGTATGTTCCTCTTTCCTCTCGGCTCTTGGGCTCCACAGCTGTTGGATCCAGATAATGGCTAATCCAAAGGCTTGCTGCTGGATCAGACCCTCTTGGGCTCTCCATCCATGTACCGCAAACTCTCCTCCGTTTGGGTGTGGCGTCTTAATGCCTACCTACAGGCATGAAAAAAGCGCTCAGTAAAGTGAGGACACCCAAACTCAGCTTTGTGACGCCGCGAAGCAGGCGAATCGTTCTGCCGGAAAATGCATGATCGCATTCCGGTTTCCTCACCTTGAGGCGACAGGTGAGAGTAACCGCAGAATCTGATGAGTGCCGAATCCGTCTTTTCTATGGGGGTGTGGATTCATTGATTTTGCTTTACATTTGCAAAACACGGGATCTGAATTCATATACCGTTCAAACTGCAGTGATAATGTTGTTTTTGTAAGAGTTTCCTTGTCACTCAAATAGCAGATTATGAGCAATGCTACACCAGTAGTCACCGTGGCAGGACGATTTAAATAAAATAAATTAAAATAAAAGGAGGACCATCTCCATGTCCATCGAAAAAAAGTGATTACTCTTGCCATGCCAAGCAATTCCATAACCACCATAGAGTAGGAATCTAAACCAATCTGAGGAACAGGTGCTGAGACCCTGAGCAGAGGATTGATTTCTAGCAGCCAGAAGATGGCAGTCCAGTAGATCCATTGCAAGGCTGAGAATGATTGGCGCAGAAAGAAAGAGAGAGAGAGAGAAGATGAAACCATGAAATGCAACGATTCGCAACTGTTGTCGTCGGAATATGGACGAGGATGTGACAGAAAAGGATATGGAGCATGGGATCGAGGAAAGCGTAACAAAGGGACCATCCATTTGTGGCTATCCTCTCCGTCAATGCTTTCAGGCTCTCTTTGCGCCCGGATAAGGCGCTGCTCACATCTCTCCATTCAATTCCACTGCCCCAATTGCAAGCGCCACATACAAATCCATGCCATTCCACTTCCTCTCGCAGGAGAAACATTGCACCTCTGACTGTCCGTGATCTGGTAGGAGTCCCAGTCCCTCTCTCCTAATCTTGCTTCCGTTGCCATGCATAGCAATCGTAATTTGAATGTTCTTAAGTTTAGCAGCCTGAGTAAGCCGTGGGGCTGAATTCGGAGCTCGAAATCTGAGTGTGTGGTTAACACAGCAGACGAGACGTAGTCGGGATCGGGTTCCGGAGGTGGTTGTTTTCGTGCATGGTTACTTCAGATTCGATTGTCGAAAAGAATTGCACGAGGTTGGGCTGTTAGGCGTGAAGCCTGCATTGATTAACTTCAGGGGTAGTCTGCACGTGGGCTTCGAACCAATGTAGCGAATTCTGTCACTTGTGTTCACGGGGTGTGTGAGATGTAGTGTTATGCTAGCGAACCTCTGAGTTCGTCGAGGGTAAATTTGCCAGGAAGGTCTCTCGTAGATGTGACTGTTTCATGCAAAATGGTCCGTTATTACCAAGTAGAAGATAGATGGGCTACCACAGTGTGGAGTTCCAATTTGGATCATTTCAGAAGATCCAGTTCCAGTGGATATCTAATCCTCATATTGTACCTAACTTGCTCGTGATGGGACTTTTATGAGTGGGCTCTTCTTATGCAGTCGTCTGGGGTGATGCGCAGAAAGAATTGGCGGATGGTGAGGGCTTTGTAACCACGAGACATCATCCTTTTATCGCTCGACCTGCGTTGAAAGGCTGCATCACACTAGGGATACAGCCGGCGAATTTCTCACGACTTCCACCATGTCGATTGCCGAGGTTACCAACGTGACCGAGTATGAGGAGCTCGCAAGGCAGAAGCTGCCGAAGATGGTCTATGACTACTATGCTTCGGGCGCTGAGGACCAGTGGACCTTGAAAGAGAACCGCAGCGCCTTCGAGCGCATCAGGTACTTCTCAATGCACTCACTTGGTCGCCCTGAATCCCCTCTCCAGATGTAACCAGCCCTCCAATCTAGCTCGAATTCCTCCAAAACCCTTCCCGTCTCAATACGCTTTAACACTCATAAGTGTTAAGGCATGTGCAGATTCCGGCCACGCATTCTTATCGACGTGACCAAGGTGGATCTGAGCACCAATGTGTTGGGCTTCAACATCTCCATGCCCATCATGGTCGCACCCACCGCCATGCAAAGGATGGCTCACCCAGAGGGAGAATTGGCCACCGCAAGGGCTGTTGCCAAGGCCGGGACGATCATGACGCTTTCGTCGTGGGCCACCAGCAGTGTGGAGGAGGTTGCCTCCGTTGGACCAGGCATCCGCTTCTTCCAGCTCTACGTCTACAAGGACCGAAACGTCGTCGCCCAGCTGGTGCGTCGTGCCGAGCGAGCCGGCTTCAAGGCTATTGCTCTGACCGTCGACACACCTCGCCTTGGACGCCGTGAGGCCGACATCAAGAACAAATTCGTGTTGCCGAGCCACCTGACTCTCGCTAACTTTGAGGGCTTGGACCTGGGCAAGATGGACAAGACTGCGGACTCAGGATTGGCTTCCTACGTCGCTGGTCAGATCGATAGGTCCTTGACCTGGAAGGATGTGAAGTGGCTGCAGACCATCACCAGCCTCCCGATTCTTGTGAAGGGAGTCATTACCGCCGAAGACAGTAAGTGCATTTCTCCACAATTTTCACAGTAATTCGCCATTGAAATTTCGAAACCTGCCCCATCCCGGCAAATTCTTTTTTCTCATGTCTGGGCCTGTAACTGAACCTTGAATGTTAATTCGATCTGTGCAGCGGAGCTTGCTGTCCAACACGGAGCTGCAGGTATCATTGTGTCTAACCACGGTGCTCGCCAGCTCGACTACGTCTCTGCTACCATCTCGGCTCTTGAGGAGGTGGTGCAAGCAGCCCGGGGCAGGCTTCCCGTCTTCCTCGACGGAGGTGTCCGACGTGGTACCGATGTTCTCAAGGCTCTTGCTCTCGGAGCATCCGGTGTCTTCGTCAGTAGACCTAACCTCAAACTTTCATTCTAAAGCCTTTTACTGCAAGCAGAATTGGAATATTACGTTGCAAGTTTTCTATTCTTCCTGTGGGTTTTATTTTACCTGAATTAACTTTGGATATGTCGGTGTTTGCAGATCGGAAGGCCCGTAGTGTTCGGCTTGGCAACAGACGGCCAAAAGGGAGTGGAGAATGTGCTGCAGATGCTGAGAAGTGAGTTCGAGTTGGCCATGGCGCTAGCAGGCTGCACCAAAGTGTCAGACATCAAGCGCTGCCACATCCAAACCGAGGCTGAGCGCATTCACTCCAAGCTTTGAACAATGCATATGCACATTCAACTACCTTGCCAATTCGGCGACTAAACTTGTACAATCGATCCAATTGTGGATTTCTACATGCTAGCTCAGAGAAATTATTCTTAGAGGGAGTGTGAAGCATTTCGGAACTGAAACAAGTGTCTCTTCGGGAAATCGGTTGTTTTCTATTTGTTAGACTACAGAGAGTAAAGTTACTGTCAGCTGGAAAACTTGCACCCGACTTCCTTACGCAATTGGCGATCCAATGAATACTATGTATTAGAAGTATCTTTGTCATTTTCTATCCTGTGTGTGCACAACATGATTGATCTACTCCACTTGCTTTCTGTTATCTCATCGTAGTGAAAGTCCAACAACAAACGTATGTTTTGAACTGCACAAAGGCGAGATTTGTCTCTTACACAAATCTCCCCATTGTGAATGCAGAAACGAGATTTCTTAACGCATGTGTCATCTTCTAAACGGTGGTTATCAACTCGTGGCGTACCGTTGGCCCTTCTGAACTCTACTGCATTCATTACGGCAAGTAGCTACAAGGGTACAAATATTTAGCACCAATGCTTCCCGCAACAATCTTCATTCTTTCAAATTCACAACCCATGTTAGCAGAACTGATTCAATCAGCCAATGCACCAACTCTCGCAGTCCGTAGAGAAAAATACTTAAAGGCACTGTTACTCGCAATCTCGCTGCAGCACTTTTACCTCGCTCCACAATCGAGAGACCATGAGTAAGATTTTAGCTGCTCAATTGGAATTCTAGAAAACTTTCAACTTAAATTACAAAACGTTGTTCTAGCAATTGTACTTTTAATAATACTTAGTAAGTTAAGTTACTACTTGGTGCACTCTTAGATCTATAAAGTACATTTGGGTTAACACATCAGGATTATTGTCTCTTTTATTCACAAAATTATAGTATAAAATATTTAATTTTAGATCTATTTTTCTACATCTAAAAATTAAAAAACCTTTGCTTATTCCAAATATGTTTTAAGTTTATAGGCTTGTAAAAAATTTAATATTGTTACTTAGATTATAAATATTAAAAGAAATATATTTATTTTTAAATAATATACTTGTATAATCAATTTTTTATGTATTATAATTATTAAAAGATACTCTATTAAATACATAAATACCATTTTTTTGTTCTAAAATTTGGGATTGATTATTTTATTATAAGAAATTTGGTGACATTTCTTTTTGCAAGTAATTTAGATACTTCAAAATGACATTATCATTTAAGCCACTTTGAAATAAATATTTCTCTAGGTATTAGATCTCTACCTTTTAAATCAACACTTCTACTTTGTACATGATGTCTTTTTATAGAACATTATATAACCAATACTTCTACCAAACAAAGAATCAAAGCTACCAAAGTCTTAGCAATAATACACTTAGATCTTTGTAGTTCTATACAAATCTCTTTTTTTAGGATAATAATATTTTTTCTACCAATTATAGATAATTACTCTCTATATATTTATATCATTTATAGGACTACAATCAAATGAGTCTAATGGTGATTTTAAAGAAGAAATTCATATCTCACAATTAGAACAATTTATACTTGCAAGTTGCAAGTCAAAAGATTGTTGCATAAACAAGTTCTTGTATAGAGTAAAATACACATCAGTTTTTTAGTATCAATTATTTGATAGCAAGTTTTTAAACCATTTTTTGAATTTATAAGACAAATATTTACATCATATAATCAAAACTCTAATTTCATTCTACTTGGTTATTATATAGATAATTTAATACTTATATTTAGTAATCTTACATATTCATCAATCTTTATTATTTTATACTCACGATTTTTTTTAATATTAACAACTTTGATCTTTTGTAGAAACTTTAAAATTCAAGTTCAAAAAACCAATTAGCTTCAACACTTTTCTTATTACAATCAAAGTATATTGATGTTTTTCTTACAAAATTTGATATATCTACTTGCTTTTATATTGTTACACAATTAGAAGTTGGTATAAGATGCTTCAAGATTAAAACAAAAAATCTTTCATCTAATTAAGTCCAATAAATGATTGTAGTTTTGAATTCACAATTACTTAACTATCTCTAATAGTTGGTCTTATGTACATTTATAAACCTTGCTTTTAGTGTAAATCACTTAGCTTACTTTATAATTAAGTATGAAACTTTGAATTGGATTGCACTAAAGTTGTTCTCTTGTTGTTTGAAGAAAACATTCAACATTAATTTTCTTTACATAATTTATCTTATGTTTTTGTTCATTTATGAGCTAAAAGATTGGTATAACAGAAATTGAATAAATAAAATGATATTAATAACTAGAATCAATATTTAGATTTTCAAAAACTTAGTGGCAATTTTAATCTAAATATAGCAGAAACAACCAATTGTGGTCCTATCTTTAATCGTGACAAAATATATTACTTTTACTGTAACAACTAAATAATTATTGTTAGTGCTAATATTGTTGTTAAAAATTATATTTTTTATTTAAGTATTGTAGACTATATAGGATAATAATTAATTATTATTATTTAATATAAAATTAAGTATTACTTCTTAAGAGAGAAATTGTGTACTAAAGTCCTAAACAATGCAATTGCACAAGGACTAAATACATTTATTACCAATTCAAATACTTGATGAAAAAAAAGACTTATAGATTTCATTAAATACTTTTAATGATATAGTTGAAGAAAGAAGGATAGTTTTACATAATCATATTAATTATATTATTATTTTTATTAAAAATATTATATAAAAATATTTAATTTTATTAGCCATATCTTTTGTCTACTTGATCCTACTTGTTTAACGTTTTTTTTTTTTTTTTTTTTTTTTTTTATTATTAAAGATGTATATTTAAGGTGTTATTTTTTTTTTATCAATTCAATATATTATTATTATTATTTTATATATTCTTCACATGTATTTCTTATCAAATCTAATTATTAATATAATTTCACATCTATTTTTCTTCATATATTTTGTTGGAAAATAAATCATTTATAAGTCATCAATCTATAAAATGATCTTTAGAAAAGATTTTTATTTATTTATTTATTTCTAAAAAGTTGAGTTTTAAATCTTTATATCAAAAATAGAAAAAACTCTAAGTGCTTCTTTAATAGAGTTGGTAAATACTTTTGATGATTAAAGCCAACTTGGTATGTAGATCTATTTATTAAAGAAAAAAAAATATGATATTTGAGAGTAGAAAATATGATATATGATCAATTATTTTTATATTTGACAAATATAGCTATTAGTTGTGGATAGTCAATCTTTCTCATCAAAATGTAGCTCCAATGAGTCATAAATATCAACATTAGGACTAATAATTATGATAATAAGAGGAATTAGATAGAAGTAAAAATAACTAAATTTTTATAATATCTTGTGAAAAACCTTCTTAGAAGCTTTTTAAAAAAGAATTTGACTTTACACGTGTTTTTAGGTGATTCATAGGTTAAAAACTTAGCCATTAAGTTGACTACATGTTGCACATATTTACCAATTATTTTATAAGTTGGCCATGTCATGAATATGTTAAAAACTTACCTTACAAGTTAAATGAATGTCTCACAAGTTAGATACAAGATGGATTACCTATAGAATATTGTCATGTAGCTTCTAAATTAAATAATATATTTAGAGGCAACAATGAAGCTATTTTCATTCTTACCCAAGTTCTTATTTTTTATTTATTTATTTATTTTAATAATTATTATCTTATTTTTAGAATCTCTAGTCTCTTTATATTTGATAATAGCTATTTTAGTTTCTATTTTATATCAATCTTTGATTTGTCTACTTTTTTTTTTTTTTTTTCTTTTTTTCTTATTTTTTGAATATCACAAGAGTATATTGTTTTTTTTAGAATTTTAATATAATTTATGTCTTTTACAGTTTAATAAAAATTCAAGTATATTACTGTAGAATATGTAAATAAATTTTGTGGTAAGTTACTGGTTGGTTATTGATAATCTTGAAAATTAGATTTATGGTTAGGCAGTTTAGTTGGTAACAGTAGATTGTTAGTGGAACAAATGGTTAAGAATTCAAAGAGTCATAACATTTGGAATCTGCTGGCCGACGGTCCATCTTTTGGTAGGATAAAGATGTTCAAAAAACGGAGATCGGGGCGAGACTGTGAAAGTCGTAAGTATGGGTAAGCTTGGTGCTACCTCTTTGTTTTCTTTGTTTTTATTATTTACTTATGAAGAATTATGATTGAGAGAAGTATTGTTGAAACTGTGATTAGAATATTATGGAATATGATTTTGGATTGACCGTTTTGGAGAAAATCTGTGACCTTGAGAATTGAGATTATCGAATTGTGTTGTATTAAGTGAAGATATTGAATTCTGTGTGATGAATTGAGAAACTCAATATAATAAGTAAGTTGGAGATCAGTAATTGAATATATATAAACCACAAAGAGAGTAAGTGGAAGATGAATTGATAAGAATATGGAAGTATTGTTGAATTGATAGTCGTAGAATGGATTATGTGTTGAATTAAGATGGAAGTAGTAAGCCTTGGTATATTGTAGTTTGATAATTGATTTTAGATAGCTAGAATATAGTCAATTGTGATACTAATAGACCCAATTCATATAACTAATCTTTCCTCATCTTCGAATCCACCTCTATTAGTTCAATTGCTTTGGTACATTGAAGCTTGAACACAACGAAAACAACATTTTGGCGCCGTTGCCGAGGAAATGATAACAATATAAAATGTTAGGAATTGATTGTATGAGAGATGGAATTATATGTTGAATGAGAATGTGAGAAGAACCTGTTTTAGGATTACAAATATGTGAGTTATAATTCAAGGCAGTATTGATTTTGTAAAGAAGAATGAATGATTATGAGTGATAATCATGAAGGAGAGGATTATCAAAGAATTAATCGACAAGCGAAAGAAAGATAGGAGCAATTACGCATAAGAAATCTCCTACCGGAATGACAAAAAGGAATTGTAGGTCCAAATAAAATCAAAGGAAGAAAAATTCAAATTCAAATAGTAAAGAGACCAGTGATAACACTAATGGCCGCAAGAGTGCCAGAAGTACCAATTGCAGTACAAATGGGAGCAGTAAGAGATCGAACTACAAGTGTGGCACCATTACCTATTTTTAGTGGTTGGTTGCGCTCTGATCCCGATCATCATATATCTCAATTCTTGGCAGCTTGCTTGGCTAATAATGGTAGAACTGAAGACATTTGATTGAGATGGTTGCATGCAACTTTAAAAGATACAGCTTTTGAATGGTATA